CTTAAGTCAAGACCCCACTGTAATAGGATCTGCCCTCTTATCCCCTGACTGACTGTGGAGTTTTCTCAGCAGCCTTTGTTGAGGGACCATGTCAAACACTTCCTGAAAATCCAGATCGGCTGGTACCTGAGAAGACTCAAGGTTCAGAACAGAGAACCTACTATTTGATTATGAAGGCCTCTTCAACAAGAAATCAGGTGACATTTTGGATAACCTACATTGGAAAAGAAATACAACCAAGAGGATAGGATTTTATTCACAATATCAGCAAAGGCAATACCAACCATATTGGTTTGCTGTAACAGATAAGGACACTTATTTCTGTATTACTATTCACAAAGACCACCAGCATTTCCTACATTTTGTTTTGGATAACAGTATCTTTCAGTTCAAGTTGCTCCCTTTTGATCCTTCTATTGCACAGAGTTTTCATGAAGTGTGTGGCATCAGTCACTTTTTACCTCAGGGTTTGTAGTATAGCAGTGTTCTTCGTGGTCTCTGTGAACGCACATTAATGGGTTTAATCTGTGCCTGTGCATAGATCTCTGGAATATTCTAGAGCTTTATGCTATGTTTGTCCACAAGGTCCGCCTGACTCAGCAATCACTCAGTTCCTTTTTGCCACCACTGAGGTCTCTCCTCTAGTCGAGCTGCATTCGTCCGTTGTGATATCTAAAAGGAATAAAATAATTCTCAATCTTCTATTACGATCTTCTACTTAGCGAATCGTAAGAGACTCTTTAATTCTCTCAGACCATTCCCCCGTTTCCTTCTCCCGCCATTTATGGCACCTTTCCCCCCTTCAAAAAGTGCACCTCATACTCAAATAAGATCCCCCTTAGAGATGACCATAAGATCTGCCTTTTCTGTTTGGGTGAACCCCACCAAACTTCCTTCTGCCAGTTCTGCAAACATTTCACCAAGCAAGCCCTCAAGTTGAGGCAACAGCGCCTTAGGTCCTTTCTTTAGGAAAAATCACTCCAACCTTCTCAAACTATGGAGACACCCCATAATCCGCAACCTCCGAGACAGTCTCCGATTACATCTAACGTCTCTCCATCTGCTACATCAATCTCTAAAAGTTCTCAAAAATCAAAATCGAAGCCTCTGAGTTCAACCAAATCTACTTCCGTACCAAAGTCCCCTTCGATACCAGAACACTCAAAGTTTAAGAAATGTAAAAAATCTTCCACTGACTCCCATCCATGCAGACCGGTACCAGATCAACCTCCAAGATCAACCCACTGTACATATAGATTCTTCAGAGGAGACCCTGTTGCCTCCATCCGGCCAACCTGAATTTCCATTACTCACTCAGTCTCCATTTTCACCGATGGGCACTGCCGAAGTCACAGTAATACCAACTTCACCATGCTCGAGTCCTCTATCTACATTTCGCTCCACCTCGGTGGGTGATTCCGACTCTGCATACCAGGCACCCAGCATTTCTCCTCCCCATAAGATGTCAAAGAAAGAACATAGTACGTCGCAGGCAGCTCATCTTGGTGCCGATACTGTGAGACCCACCACTCCAACCAGGTCCTTCACATCCCAAGAGCCATCCAGAAGATACAGGCAGTCCAAACTGGTCAGGCTCTATCAACCTCCAGACTACTATGACCCTGCCTACAGACGCTCTCAATATCAAGCATATTGCTACTATCCGTCTGAGCTCGACTTTTACTCCGACCATCGACATAGATGTCGATACTATTATGATTCGGACGTATCTGACTCATCTCCTTCACCTCGATATCGGTACCAAGAAGCCTACCAGACTCTATCTGGTAGAGTTTCAGAATGGTTCTCTCTCTCCTCGCAGATCTGGTCCTAAAAGTCAACAAAGAAATAACAATCCTTGCCCCTACTCAGCACTGCATGAGGCACACACAGCTAAGTGAGTGCCACTCATTTGCATCAGGTTGCACCTGGAACCTCACATGGAAGGGGCAAAGCTCCTGCAGAGCACTGTGGAAAATTAGAAGGAACGTTGGGCCTTGGAGCTTGCCACCCTCCTCAGCACTAGGGCAGAGGGCCCCCTGATCCCAGCTCCTGGAGGCAGCAAGCGCCGAGGCCTAAGGCAGCCACCCCAGCGAGCAACCACCGGAGCCGGTGCCAGAGCGGAAGGCAGCGGAAGGCACCACCAGTGGGCAAGCCACCTGCTGCTCAGGGACCCAGCAGCAGCGGTGTCGGCCCTGTGGAGGGCGGCGAGGAGTGCCAGAGCCAGTGCAGGAGTGGGAGGCAGCATCGGGCATCACTGGCAGGTGAGCCACCTGCTGCTCAGGAGCCGCCCACCAGCAGAGAAGGGGAGCCGCCCCTGTGGGGCTAAGGGCTGAGTGCGGCCCCACCAGGAAGGATGAGGCAATGGCACAGGAGGACCCTTCCTCCAGGAGCCAGGATCGGGGGGCCCTCCGCCCCTGCACTGAGGCCGAGGCCCAGGACTCAGCAGCAGTGGCAGCATTGGCCCCACGGAAGGCGGTGAGGAGTGCCGAGGGACACCCCCACCTTCCCTCACCACTGCTTCCCTTTCCCTAACCGTTGGGGCAAAAGATCTACACAGAAGTAGCCTCTTTGCCACCAATGGTTTAAATTTCCTGCCTTTTCCCCCTGCCCTTCTTTAGTTGTTTCTTTAAGTTCTGGCTGCAAGTCAAAGCAAAATTTTGCAGCTGGAGCTGGTCGTAACTTGAAATGGTCATAAGTGGGGGTGTACATAAGTCGAGACACCACTGTAGTAAATAGAGCAATAGAGCACAAAACCCCTCTCAGATTGCTGGTCACTTAGAAAAAGTGTGGGGGGGTTGTGCTGTGTCGCTTCTAAAGGTGTTTTTAGTATTAATTTTATTTACCATTCGTGGGGGGGAGGGTTTGTGCTCTGTCGCTTCTAAAGGTGTTTTTAGTATTGATTTTATTTACCATTTTAATACGATACCCATTTGTTCTTTTTTTAAAATATTTGTACACTCACCTAAATAATTCTGAGTGTCGAACTGAACAACTCCTTGTTAGTCTTCTTTGTAAAGGAGGTGAAATATGTACAGAGACAATTTCCGTTCCTCCAGAGACCATCAGAGGAAAAGCTCTTCACCTGTTGACCTATGGCACAATGGAAAACCTGTCAGAAGTCAAGTGTATTGCCTCGTCCTGACAGAAAGTACACACACGCACACAGAGAACTTAGTTGAAATGTTTTTGTGTCAAGGAGTTATTCTTAAAATAATTAGTTTTTTTCTCACACTTTTGGCAGCTTTTCTTCTGTTGCTCTAAATCATCATAGGCACTGCCTCAACTATTCTTCTTATACATAGGCCTGTTTTTTCCCCCTCAGCTGTCAAGTTCTTATTTCATCTTACAGACAATAAGTTCACATTTTGTCTATGCTTGAAAAGCCAGACTGCCTGAAAACATGAGCAATTTCTTGAAGTGAGGCTGATCTACTTGTGTCACAGCTGCCATGTTTGAACTCCACAGCTCAGCTTGAGGCAAGCCTTGGAACCTTCTATGCACCGACGAGGCCTCTCTCTCAGACAACAGTGTTGGAATACAGGGACCAGATCAGCCGATATGCAAGAAGATTTTTCCACCATCTGCTCAGGTGACTGACAGCTTTGACTTTGATTAACTTTAAATTAGTTACATATATCAATAGCTTTACACTTTTAATGTATTTAACATGTTTTCCTGAAGGACCACCATGGTAAAAATAAGCTTTCGTTGTCATTTTTCTTTGTTAGGCCTTCCCTCTTTCGAATACATGTATATAAGGTACTGTTCTTACTTCTTCTGTCATCAGCTCCTCTTTAAACTCTGTCTCCGTTTCAGTTTTAGAGGAAAGTGACTAGTTCCATGAGTTTGCTTTTTGTTTGGACTAAAAATCAGAACTGCTAGGGGACTGATGAGACAGGAATCTCTGCTTAATTGAATGGTACAAATGCAAATTAGTAATCTGTGTCCCTGTGGGATTTTTAACCAGATCAATTAACATTGCTTTTATTTTATTTTTCTCCTTTGCCTATTTAGATATTTGCTTTATAATTATTTTGCTGTTTACCTAAGAAAGCAAGCAACAAAAGCAAATATATCTAAAATAGATAGAAATGTTTCTCAAATGTCGTTGTTCAATTTATGAAATGTATAATTTTCACTTATAATTTTGAAAGGCATATAGAACTGAATATATTTACCACCTTTCATATCTTGGTTTTCCTTCTTGTATGTAACTCCAAGCAGCATAAATATACCTTCAGAATCTATGGATTTGTAAAATCATAATAATGCAAAACAACCTAGCAAAGATAGAAAGTTAGTGGTTCAGACTAAAATACAAACTCTGACTTTCTCTGCTTATATGAAATTTACTGAATTTTGCTGGGGGGGGGGGCAGGAAAATTCAAAGGCTTCACTCAGATAGTGAATATCTTCTTCCATTATTCACCAGTTTGTCATCTTTTATCTTTCTAAAATTTAGGATAGTTATGTTCTCTCAGTATTGGAGAACAGGGCCACCTTTAGCTTTCAGAGAAAGGAGTAGAAATAAAGCAAATCACACACATACGGAACAGGAAGTTCTGAAAGTGAGGTTGGAAATGCTTTGGTCACTAACAAGAGATAGTTCCATTCCTTTTTACACAACAGCCCATGACCTTTTTCAGTTCCTTAGCTGAGAACTCATTGGGCACTACTTCGGATAAGGTGTGAGGAATAGCTTGGTAACTATCCCATGCTCTGACCAAGATCTCCCCAAATTGAAACCATTATAAAGACAGCCTCTTCTTCAGTTAGCCTTCCTGATGCATTAGGTAACCCATCTGATAAACTTTTTTTCACACTGAACACACGGCAGCTGTAAGCACCCCATGAAAAATACAGCTGTGTGAAAGTTGTCCTAAATATTAATGTCTTTTCCAGGTATTTTTACAACCCACATAATAATAATTCAGGTTCTTAAATTATGCCCTCAAACCTTAAAGTTAATTGAGTTGTCTCAGGTGTTGGAAAACACAGAAAATTACTTTTGGGGGAAAAGATTTTAACCACAGTTCTCTGAAAACTCTCAACAAGTATCCTCTGCTGAATATATTTCAGGTTAAAGTTTGCCTTGTAAAGCTGATCAAAAGGTATTCATGTTAATGCTTGTGAATGTGAATTTCAGTTTCTGTGATCCACATGGCACATGAAAAGATTGCCTCAGCTATAGTTATTCACCTGCTTTACAAAAGAATGGACTGTTGTCACATAAGTAGTTTTTAATTTTCCAGTTTAAAAAGGTTAAATGTTTTACCCAGTAAAATGTTAGATCATCTTTCACTCTGTAACACAGCTAATTATTTTTTTTCAAAACTTAAAACTTCCACTGCAAGTTTTAATTTCACTCATGTGCTTTGATTTAAGTCTCTTGTGCAGATCACAATGTAAGCAAAAGTGGACGAACTATCAGGAAAAGAAAAACAAACAAAATTATTTAATTCCCTATTTAAAATTCTGAGAAGCAATACTAATAGAAATGTTTGCGTTTGTGAAGGAAAAGCAGCTGTGTTGAATACCATTCTTAGCTAAAGAGTTACAGTTGCAAATTTCACCTGTAGCTGTTTTCCTAGCAGTTTATTACAGTTCAGCCTACTGGAAAACATACTACATTATGTGTTGGAGAGCCTAGGTTTTGTCTACAGCATGTTCAAGTAAGACTGCAAAGCTGCTGTTGTGGGTTTTGGGGGCTCTTTGGCCATGTTCTGAAGGTTGTTCTTCCTCACGTTTCGCCAGTCTCTGGCGAAGGAACATTAGGAAGAACAACCTTCAGAACATGGCCAAAGAGCCCGAAAAACCCACAACAGCCATTAGATCCTGGCCGTGAAAGCCTTCGCGAAGACTGCAAAGCCTTCTGTTTGAGTACCCAAAGACCGACTGTCAATCACTGTAGACATTACTGAGTCATACAGTCTGACTTGATATCTTCATATATTAATACGAAGAGTAAAACATATATACAAACACTATCTGGTTGGTCCCCTTGACTTTCAGAGTTATTTGTAGGTTATCAGCTGTGCCATATAATGCTAGAAATGTGAAAGCTGAATGGTGTTCATTTTTATTGCTGAGAGACAATCAGTTTGCACATGCTCAAACACATTGACCAAAATCCTGTTGTTTTAGTATATTAAATTGCCCTCTGAACTGAATTAATTAAAACTACAGAGGAGGTGACTCACCCTTTCCTCACTGATACAGTGGGCCTACTCTAGTGTGCCTTACTACATTAAGCAACAGGATTTTAGCCATAGTCTGTAAAAATTAATTTTTCCAAACTCCGGACTTTGGAACCCCAAGCAATTAACACTGTCGCAAGGGTAAGCTGAAGCCACAACCCAATATAAATAACTCCTAACGTCTTCTACCAAATATTTTCATCTCCTGCATTTTAAAAAACTGCTGAGATATCACATCTTCACTGTGGGGATTTAAAGTAGAAGCCACAATTCATCCTGAACTACGCTATACTGCTGTTTTTTGGTGTGCAGACATGCTGATATGTTTGCTCAATAAAATGTGGCTTTCAAGACATACTGTTAAGTTTACATGATCACCAGAGTGAGAGGGCTAAAGCCGAAACAGAAGAAAAGCTGAAGAGAATTAATGTAATAAAAGCTGGGATTTAACAGGCAGGGTTGAGCAAAATAAGTGTGAAACAACAGGTGTCATCAGCTCTTATCAGCATTTTTAATTAACATCTGTTTTCAGCCCAGAGTACTTTGGAAGAGTATGCTGGAGTGTGTCTGTATTTAAAGATAAAGGTAGGCTGTTGAGGAGTTGCTAAACAGTAAGAGAGATTGGGGAAACCAGGAGGTAGGACGAATTGTATACAGCAAGGATGTTTGTAGCCTTTATAAATCTGAAGGGAAACAATGTTAGCAATGTCCCTATATAAGATATTGCTATGGCAACAAAACATTTTCTCTTAAAGAAAAAAGGGGTATGATAAGGAGCATGGAAAATTCAAAGGGAGAAAGATTCTAATAATATCGTGTGGGATACATGTGAAAATAGCTACAGTGTTACTGTTGGACTAATACAATTAATATTATTATGCTGTGTACCTATTCAGTCTCTTTGAGAGCCTCAGAACTTTGGAGAAATTAAAAGAACAAGGTTGCATGAACTCCCTGTGAAAAGGAAACACACACTCATCCTTTCCAATGACATAAAAGTAAACGGAAGCTCTTTGGTTATATGTGAGTTACAGCTAAAGCGCATTAAACTGAAAGTTGCTTTAAAATGGTTCTCTGTGGTAAATACTGTATGTCTGCATAGTAATCTACTCATGTATGACAACCTGTCATGTTGACAGATAATTTTCCCCTAGTACACCACTTATTGTGTGGGTGCACAGTATGCTACATTTTTAAAAGAAAAGGCATGTTCCCATGTAGAAAGCTCCCATATCCACATGGCAAGCCACTCTTGCATCATTACGCAACGACTTCTGCCAAAAGAACTAAGTAGCCATTTTGTGTTCCCTGATCTGATCAAGCCAAAGAAACGGCATTTGGGTATCATAATAAGTAGTCTCTGTAGATCTAGAAAAACCAGTTTTACTGCGTAATAGGACTATAACCAGGAGAAGGGGGCTCTACAGAAGCCTTCCTATGCACAAAGCTCTTGCAGGTTCATACCATTTTTTTAATTAAAGGAAAAAGCTTCTACCTCTAGCCATTTTAGCTGTGGATGGGTTAGAGCAAGCAGGGAGATAGGCAGTTTATTAATTCTCCCATTTATTAATTCTCCCATTTATAAAAAGTAAACTCACCCCTATGTCCCATTTTCTGGCCAAAGACCATGGAGGGCCTGGGGGATAATTAGCAAACCTTTCAATATTTGCTGCTTCTCTTTTATTGAAATAAATTACTGACTTAAACACATTACAGTATTTTTTTTTTAAAAAAAGAGCTTCACATTAAGTTGTTAATACACTGCATTATACACAAAGATTTCCCCATCTCCTCATGCCTCCTATGGCACAATCCAGCCAGTGAATTAGACAGCTGCAAGTCGCACATGGTCTGGGTCCACGTACTCTGCATGAGCAGAGCAGAACCCGGCGACTTAAGCATGAATGTCAAAGTTGTCAGTACACAAGATGGGATGAATTAGATACTGAGAGTACAATTCTATATCCAATTAGCTGGATAAAGTCCATGAGATACCACAGGATTCCACCACACATACTTAAACCAGACTGTTTTATTTAAGGCAAAAAGAATAAACAGCTTATAAATATCTGAAGCTAGTTAAAACTGGAGTGCACACCTTTTCCCATCAGCTGAGAACACTCCTATGTTGAATACAGAAGTTGCACACCAAAGCAATATGGAACATATTGAAACCCACAAAATGAGTTGAATTAATAATAATAACGGAACTACAGAAGGACCCTGTAGATCGCCAAGTCCAACCCCAAATAAAGGAGCTACAGTGGAGAATTGAACTCCCAACCTCTAGCTCTGCAGTCAGATATCCAAACCATTGAGCTATCCAGCAGTTCTTCTCTAGATTCTCTCAACAGAATTCTAGTTATTGACTAGTCTATAAAATACATCTACT